TTCATTCAAATAATGACTTAATGACATTTTTCCAGTTGCAGACTTTTAAAATACCACTTTAATATCTAAATTTATATTTCGTTTATAATTCCAGCATGTTGCGACTCCACACCATCATTATTCTCTTCTCTGATCATCACTTACTAAAACCCCTGAAACCTTACTCTAGTTGATCCCGTCAATCGTCGATAATCGAGCGATTAGGGTTTGTGCAACCGCCCCTTCCAAGTTAAATTCCGATCAATCCAAACCACCAAAATTCAACATTCCACTAACACAAGACTCATGAGCCTCCCATTTTAAAAAAAAACTCTCATAGTTTGGACCGAGTTTGCTCTTTGTTCGTCATTAGAATATAAATTTAAATAGTAAAATGATATTTTAAAAGTTTGTAGGTGGAAAAGTGTCATTAAACCATTATTTGGGTAGGAAAAAATTGTCTAACTCTAAAAAATTAGGAACCCCATTTCAAGATTATCAATTGGTGAGTTGTAAAGGGCCAGGTGCAACAAACCCAATAGACAACCTTATGGGCTGGCTCTGAAATTCAAGGCCAGGAATGTGAATGTGAACTAGACCCAAACTTCAGGTGGATTCGTTTGTTCACGTGAGCTGTGTAAGACTTTTTAGGCTTTTGGGTTGTCTCTATGTATAGCACATGAACAAGCAGATGATATATTTTTCTTGGCAAATGCAAATACATATCTTTGCATCTATTCTTGCCGCTACTTTTCTCAACTAAAGAAGATGATGAGTTTGCCTGGAAGGAAAAAAATGGGGCAAAGCAAATCATGTTTGTCAAACTTCCATTGATGTGATAATAAAAGCTTTGATTTTGGTTGTTTATTGGGACCCTTAATAAAACTCAGTGTGTGTTGCTACATGGGGTCGACCACCTTCACGTGAGCACCTTCTGTTGTCTCTCATGTGTGCTCATCATTCAATTTCAACTCTCTTTCTTTCTTTCTATCTTCTTCTTTGTGATCTTTTCTATTATCCATTCCAACTTAAATCACACTTTCAGCTTTATTTTGGATGCTATCAATCATCTTAAAGAAAAAAAAAAGCTAAAGTGAAAAAATACAAGGAACTGTCTTCACGTGAACAAAAGAAAACTCAAGGATCTCTTCTCTCTACCTAACCTATGTTTCTTAATCCTATATGCCAATACTAGTATTTGATCACAGGTTAATAATGTTAAAACAAGTTTAATGATTCAAAGAATAACTAATATTGGGTAAGCGTTATTATCAATCTTTTGCTTTATAAATAATTACGGTTTCGTGAAACTAATTACAAAGCTTTAATGGTCCTCACTTTCTAACCAGATTTCCTATATGATAGCATAATTATAAGCCTAAAAAGGCATTCTTCTGCAATTTGAATAATATAAATGTGGTTAAGATGTAAACCAATAATACACAAGTTTGTGTAAATTTAAGGTAAAGCTTGACAATGAAATTTAGTGATGGAAGATGATGAATTGGATTAAGGGTCCCTCTCAAAACAAAAGCAAGTTGGCTAGGTTGAAGAGGACCATCTTGTTCCTGTGATCATCCATCACCATCCCATCTTTCTCTAAATTTCACACAAAACATAAAAATCCCAATTAAGCATCATCATCTTTATGGTTCCCACTTTTGCTTCCGTGAAGGAGGCTTGTCTTGTCTCCAACTCAGACTTGATCTTCATTATCATCAACATTTTTCTTTACCAAAATTAGGGCTTAATTTGGTGACAAGTCCCATTAAAATTATTACATAGTACGTTGGCCCTTTTGTTCTTTCAAACTTTAAGTTGGTATTGACAGAGAGTTCCCATCTTTCTGGCTTAGAGGCTAGAGCTCAACACTATAAAATTTGTTGTAATTTCATTTCAATTGAATAATACTAGACAGTGCATGTAAATGTAACTTGTAAAATAAAAAACCACAAATGCACATTGTTATCAGTATTATCAATCCAAAAACCCTAGCGTGACAAGTGTTTGTTCATTTTTGTAGATACGAACTTGTTTTCTTACTCGATCCAAGTTCACGGTTTGAGCAATTCCCTTTTAACCTAATTACAGTTGATTGAGAACCATCCAAGAAGACGGTGTTATAATTCAATAGGTAATAATATTGGTAAATGGAAATGAGTGTGATGTTGCTGTTGACAGGGTGGTTGTGGTCCTCGGCAATGAAGGGGACTGGCCATTAGCCTGAACTTTTGGTGGACATTGTGGGAGGCTGATTATAGCTTTTTATCTGGTTGGCGATGGCCACCAATAGAGGCCCTGAAAACACATGATTTTGTTTGTTGAAGCACAAACCATGTTCATGGTTCTGCAATCTGCCCATACTTGGGTTCAAAAAATACGTAACCACAGAGGAAGAGGACAGTAGCCATCAAGATCTGGGTCCAACCAAACCACCCAGCAACCATCTCTTAAACTAGAAATGGACCCACCATTTGAGGAGGAGAGTTAGGTTTGGCAGTTGCAAAATTCCTGTGATATTTGATAGATTGAAATAAACATTTGACAGATGCTCCCTCACCAATTAAAGACACAGTTTTTATGAACAATGTGGAATTGGTGGCGACTCTCTCTGGTGACTGCACACGCACGCCTTCCTTCACTCTCTTGGACTTTCACGCCCACCCCATGATCGCCTTTAAAGCCAAGTTAAAGATTTTGAGTCTTTAAACTTCATTTACCTCCAATAATTTAAACCCAGAATCCAAATTTTCCTTTCAGATTCTACATTAAGTAGTTGAATAAAATTCCCATCTCCACCACCACCAAACGGAACGCACATAGCGCAGTTATGGTGGATACACGTATATATATTTCAATGATATGAATTTGATTTGCCGGGAAGAAACAACCAACAGTTTGGACCAGTCGAACACCTAATAACTTTTAAATTTTATGTACTTTTAAATTAATTAGTTTAGTTTGGTATCATAAATTGAGAAAAGAATACAGAATACTAGTTAGTTGTTGCTAAATTTAATTATGTCCCAAATTCTAAGATATTGAATAATTAATATCTTACTCAATGTAGAATTTAATTTTAGTTAACCATCATTTGGTGGTCCAGAGGACAACTAAAACTTTTATATTATTTAAGAAGTTATAAGTTTGATCTACCTAAGTTACTAATAGGGGTGGTCATTGAGGGGATTTACTCAGTTGTCAACTTCAGAGCTCTGGGGGACCTAGATTGCTAATAGGGGTGGCCATTGAGGGGATTTATCCGGCTGTCAACTTTAGGGTTTCAGAGGATTAGTTGAGGTGTACACAAGCTGGTCTGGACACCCCTGATCACCCAAAAAAAAAATTAATTTTAATTAAAGTACACGCAAGTTGATCTAAATATCCACTTACTAAAAAAAAAAAAAAAAAAATTAATTAAGTACTGTAATTTGATGTTAATGTGCAGTTTGTTGATGATCTAGAAAATGTACCTTTAATTTCTTAAAATATATATATGTAAATGGAAAAAAAAGGAGATCATAATTTGGTAAAGATCGGAGAATAAAGCTATAAATGTTGTGGTTAAAACATCATTTTCAGAAGATTATCTTAATCAACCAAATTTATTAATTAGAGACCGTTGGCGTTTTGTCATTGTCTATGGCTTCCGTCGGCGCCACGTATTATATGACTATTCTGCCCCCTCAAATATATTATTATTATGACCCATGGGTTGCTTCACTTGTTTCTTAATGTTCCTATATATGGCTTCTTCTGTCATTTCCTAATAAATGGACCGTTCGCAATCTCCTAAGCAGCAGACCATAACAAATTTATGAAGCCTAGCTAAAAGAATCCTAAGGGTTTTTTTTTTCCTTTTCATTATTATTTTGGAAATGAAGTAATAAATAGGGCAAACAACATGTTCCCACTCGAGGTTTAGCGAAATCTCAAGTTTATACCCTTAGTTGTATTTATTCCAAATTCACATCCTTAAACTAACATGGTTAGAAAATTTTGACTTTTGACTTATGCTATTATGATAATGTCATTGACTTTTGATTTCACCCCACCCCACCAACCTACTTGATCGTCTTTCAGGCTTGATTTGACTTGATTCCGGTGTCACAATCTAACACCACCATCATGATCCTCTTATCTCCCTTTCCAAAACCCTTCTCATCTCTGACCGCGTGTTGCCGCTGTTCGTCCACCACTACAATTTTTTTGTTCATGAGTTCAAATGTGTGGGTAGGTTGGATGAAATCAAAAGTCAAGGGTAATATAGTAATAGCAAAGTTAGAAGTCAAAATTCACTAACAATGTTAGTTTAAGGGTAAAATTTTTGAATAAATACAACCAAAATGTATGAACTTGTGATTCGCTAAGCCTGATGTTTGCTCTAACAACTATTGCTCCATTAATAACTAGAAAAAAAATATATATATATATCGACACATGGGTCCTCATAGAAATGACACATACAAAAATAACCCAATAATGCAATTGCAAAAATTCAATCATCCAGTACGAAATATGTAAACTGACAAATTTGGCATCTCAACCTCCCAATCACAACAAAACGTAGCTCACTGTTCACCTATAAATGAAAGCAAACGTAAACCCAACACAGAAATACAAAAAAATTGTCATTTTCTTTATGTAAAATGGTCCAAATGGACCTCATATTATTATTGTATTTAACATCAAGCTTCTTTTCTCGATTGGACCGTCGTTTTTTAATTTTAATTTTAACCTTGTTAGACCTTCATCACTACACAAATTATTATTCCGATTTTGCCCTCAAGAGCTGGACCACATTTGACAATTATAATATAAGCTAAGCTCGGAAGGGTATGTATGTCAAATCGAACTGTTCCCTTAGCCTAAAACAAATTAATTATTTAATTAAATTAGAGAAATTAACCACAAAGAAGCTTCTTCTTGAATTTTCACTTTAAAAAATAAAATAAAAACACGTGTCAGGTCAGCTTTCTCTAAAGGACTGTTGTTACCTATAAAGAAGAGAAGTGAAACATACGAGCTTTCTCTTTAGATCTGCTCTTTTGTTATCTTCTCCTTCTTTTACTGCCTACACTTCCTACAGCTACTCTTAACGGTCTGACTCGGTCTTCGTCTCTCGTTCTCCGGCTTCAGATTCTACTTTCTCTCCAGCTCCTTTGGACCACTACATTGTATTTTTTTTATATTGTGTTTTGTGCTTGATTGTCTGATTGGTGAGCGTTGGATCGAGTGATTCTGTAAATGGCTGTTTTCCGAGGAGTGTTGCCGGAGCTCCTGTGAGTGTCGGGGTCTCCGGTGGAGCTCCGGTTAAGATGTTCAAGTCAGCTCGATGGAGGTCCGACAAGAACAAGATCAAAGCTATCTTCAAGTTGCAGTTTCATGCAACTCAGGTAACATGTTTAAACATGGCCAATTTTTTGTTTTTTCTAACATCGAATGTGATATGCTTTCTGGTTTCAGCTTTGGAGCTTGTTGAAGATGAGATTTTTTATTTTTTATTTTTTTAAATATTGATAATGGGGATGAGTTGAATTGGGTTCTGTTTGGTTTCCGAGAAAATGTAGCAAAAGAAAAAAAGAATGGAAATTCTCATCCTTCGGGGATTCATAAGTTTAGCAATTTAACTCAATTTTGCAAACAAAAAGAAGAGCGCCTTTGAAAAAGGAGAATGTCGATTTTGTTTTGTTTTCTTTTGATGGGTTATAGTGGCAATTCAATGGAGTGTGAATGAAGAATGGGAACGAAAAAAGAAAATTTTGATTGACGTAATGTGACAATTTGATCATAGGAAATGACGAAATGTGGTTTTTTGAATTATCAGGTGGCACCGTTGGGGGAAAATGCATTGATGATCTCTGTGGTTCCTGGGGATGTGGGAAAGCCAACGGTGAGATCAGAGAAGGCTATAATCGAAAATGGCTGTTGTCGATGGGGAAATCCGATCTATGAGACTGTGAAATTTGCTAGGGAGCTCAAAACTGGGAAGATCAGTGAAAGAATATACCATTTCATTCTCTCAACGGTAAGAAATGTTGCCAAATCTTTATGTTTTATTGTGTAATTTTGTATCTGTTTATGAGGTTTGGTCTTGTCTGTTGTCGTAGGGATTCTCAAAAGCTGGTTTTCTTGGGGAAGTGTCGATCGATTTTGCTGACTATGCTGAGGCAACTAAAGTTTCTACTGTTTCCCTTCCCTTAAAGAATTCACGGTCAAAAGCAGTTTTGCATGTTAGTACTCTCTCTCTCTCTCTCTCTCATATTTATGTCTTTCACAGGAGACAGTCGCGGAACATTTTCAAAAGTTGTCATGTGACCTCTGCTTGCCATTACGGTTGAATGTTAATTTTGCAAATTTTCAATGTTCAGTGAATTGCAAAATTGAACTCTGCCTTTTTCCATTGGTAGGTCTCAATACAAAGGGTTCAAGATAATGTCGATCAAAGGTAAACTGGGGATTTCATTTTTAAATTGTTTACCATCATAAGCTGTGAATAGATTATGATTGCAAATTTTGGTCTTGCTTGAGAAATTGTTCAGAGAAACAGAAGAAAATGAAGATGCAAGCATTAAATACCAAAGTAGGAGTCTGAGGACCCAGTTAAGCAACAGTGAAGCTGAGGAAAGCAATAACAGCAATTCTACAGAAGTAAGATCTCATCTTGCCCAACAAAAGAATATGATTATGTTCTCTTCTTCTTCTTTTATTTATTTTTTCACTCATATTTTCCCATAAGGGACAATGTGTTGGGTCTGAGGAAAACCAGGAGGTGGATTGGTGGCTGTGGGATTTGAAATTTTTGACAATTAGATAGTTTTATTTCTTGGGAACTAGCACTTTTTTTTCCCTTATATTTTCTGGTGCAAATGATCGATAAAAGTATGTTTCTTCTGTGTTTTTCTTTACTTCACAGGATAAATCTCCTAGTAAAACTGTCCCCAGTGCTGAATTGAATGGCAACTTCGGAGCATCTAGTGGATCTGACATTACATTGTCAAGTTCTGAGAGTGATTCTGGGCTCAATACCCCGCGAGACCAGGTCCCTAATAGCTTTCTATCATCCCTGAGCCACACTACAGTGCCCAATAAACTAACAGAAAATACCCAAGTAACAATCTATGAAGAGCATCAGAGATCACAATGGGAGTGGTCAGTCAGTTCAGACCATGGAATAAGTACTGACGACTCCACAAATGGTTTTCAAGACACTTTTTTACGAGAAAGGTCTGAACAGGCTTCAGATAATGAGATTGAAAAACTCAAGTCTGAGCTTGTTGCTTTGACAAGGCAGGCAGATTTGTCAGAGTTGGAATTACAGACTCTGAGAAAGCAAATTGTGAAAGAAAGTAAAAGGGGGCAGGACCTATCCAGGGAAGTTGTCAGCCTGAAAGAGGAGAGAGATCTACTCATGGCGGAATGTGAGAGACTAAAGACTTTTCAGAAGCGTATGGGTGAAGCTAAAGTTAAAAACAGGTTGCAATTTGAGGGCAGGGATCCCTGGGTTCTTATAGAGGAAATCAGACAAGAACTGCAATATGAGAAGGACCTGAATGCAAATCTACGGATACAATTGCAGAAGACTCAGGAATCAAATTCTGAGTTAATGCTTGCTGTACAAGACCTAGATGAAATGTTGGAGCAGAAAAACACGGAGATATCCAATCTTTCCGACAAGTCACGATACCATCAGAATGCTGAAGAGTTGAGGGGAAACATATTTAGGAGTGAGACAGATGATGACGAAGAGCAAAAGGCACTGGAAGAGCTGGTTAAGGAGCACAGAGATGCCAAGGAGACATACAAGCTGGAACAAAGGGTCATGGACCTCTACAGTGAAATAGAGATCTATAGGAGAGATAAAGACGAGCTAGAGATGCAAATGGAGCAGCTTGCCCTTGATTATGAGATACTGAAGCAACAAAATCATGACATCTCATATAAATTAGAGCAAAGTCAGCTGCAGGAACAACTGAAGATGCAGTATGAATGTTCTTCTTCATTTGCTAATACAGGTGAACTTGAAACCCAGATTGAGAATTTGGAGAGTGAACTCAAAAAGCAGTCAAAAGAATTCTCTGATTCTTTGGCCACCATAAAAGACCTTGAAGCCCATATCAAGGACTTGGAGGAAGACTTGGAGAAGCAGGGACTAGTATATGAAGCTGATCTGGCAGCTGTGACACGTGCCAAAATTGAGCAGGAGCAAAGAGCAATTCAAGCTGAGGAAGCCTTGCGAAAGACAAGATTGAAAAATGCTAACACAGCTGAGAGGCTACAGGAGGAATTTAGAAGGCTCTCTGCACAAATGGCCTCTACGTTTGATGCAAATGAGAAGGTGGCTATGAAAGCCTTTGCAGAAGCTAGTGAATTGCGCACACAGAAAAGCCAACTTGAAGAAATGCTCAGGAAAGCTCGTGAAGAGCTCCTATCAGTGAGAGATGATTATGAGACAAAACTACGTGAACTTTCCGACCAATTAAATAAGAAAACAGAGCAGATAGAGCAGCTATTAGATGATATTGACCATATATCCAAGAAGCTTGAACAGCAACAGAAGCACGAGGAAGAAGTTTGTGGGGCTCTCTCCATGGAGATTTTACAGCTAAAATCTGAGATTGAAAAACTCAGGACAAGCAATGATCTTCTCTCTGAAAAAGCAGAACAGAAAGAAAGTTTGAGAGTTGAATTGGAAGAAATGAAGACATCAGTTAAGGAGAGTGAGCTGCTGTTACAAAAAGGGAATATGGAGAGACATGAACTCGCAAGTCAAGTTGCTTTATTGAAGAAGGAGGCAGAGAAATCACAGGAGGAGCTACTGAGAATAAGGCATCTCAAGGATGAAAAGGAGGCAGCATTTGAACTCTTAAAATCAGAGCTCGAAGTGCACAAGGCTCAGTGTAGTGACTTGAAACATTCTTTATTTGAGGACGAGTTAGAGAAAGAAAAACTTAGAAAGCAGATATTTCAGTTAAAGGGTGACCTTAAGAAGAAGGAAGATGCATATACCATTCTCGAGAAGAAGATGAAGGATGGCAACAGAAGAGGATCAATTTCTGATGGAACAAGAACTTCTCTAAGAAACAATAAACCTGCTCCAGTTGCTCAAGGATCTAAAGAGGTTGCCAGTTTGAGAGAAAAGATAAAAATGCTTGAGGTAAATGTACTACTCAAAATAGTATATGAAATTGAATATTTGAGTTGAATATGTTTGTCTTAACTGCAAAATTTGTGTGGGTGTCTGAATTTATCAATGGTTTAGCACTACAAAAAGATGATCCTGACATTCCTGCTCATACCTGATAATGTTTTATGGAAATTTGTTTCTTCACTTTTTTATTATAGTTGTGATGGACATAGTGAACTGGGTACTGATGATTGTTTTGTTTGCCAGGGACAAATAAAGTCAAGGGAGACTGCTTTGGAGACCTCAACAAATTCATTTTTAGAGAAGGAAAAGGATCTTCGCACCAAGATCGAAGAATTGGAGTGCAGAGTGGAGGAGTTCAATCAGAATAGCAGTTTATGCAAATTATCATTTGAAAAGGTTGGCAACTTTATAAATCATGTAATGCTTCAGATACATGCATATATTCATAAAACGGACAATTTAAGGGCAATTGCAGTCACTGTATGCTCAGTGAGGAACATTCATCAGAATGTACTGATAATATCATAATAAATCATGACAAACTATGTATAACCTGTTCATTTCTTTTGTCATGGTTTGAGGGCTTGTTTAAGTCTTCACATCCTGTGCGTTGAGCAAATATCCAATTCTGATAAATGCTTTGGGTTATTTTCAATTGAACGTCTTCAAGGTCCTGAGTTTATTTCAAAGTTGAACTTCTTATATTTGCTTTATTAGTGCTACAAAGTGAAAGTTCTACATTAATTTCTGCAATGTTTCATTTTGTGACACAGGTAGCTGAAGAAATAAAAAGCCAGAGCAGTTCATCATGCCAGTTCAAAGAAAATGGAAATATCATGCCACCAGTCAATAGGTATGGACTTGAGGAATGAAAATTTGTTTTCTATGATTCTGTTTTGATATCATGATAACAAAACTACCTGTTACCACTTTCTAGTGAAATACTGATCATTACTGTTCTTCGCAGCAACGATGATAATTTATCTGAGAAAGAACTGAAACCATCTACCATCGAAAATAAAAATGGCAACCTCGATGACATGTTAACTGAATTAGCATCTCTGAAGGAAAAAAACAAATCCATGGAAAGCGAGCTGAAGGATATGCAAGAGAGATATTCAGAGATAAGTCTCAAGTTTGCCGAGGTAGAAGGTGAAAGACAACAGCTTGTGATGACGGTTCGCAACCTCAAGAATGCCAAGAAGAGCTGATAACCGTTTCCTTGTTTATACACCGAAACCTATATACAATGTATAGTTGCTGCAGCTGCGCCGTGCCTTCCCAAAGAAAAACAAACATAGACGTGGCGGTTCTATCAGACTATCAGAGTGAATAAATTAAATTGTACAAATCTTATACAAGTTTACCTTGTAGTTTCCATAGGTAGTAATTGTCTTCAGTATCTTATTCATGTTGTTTTCGTAATCTTTTTTTTCCTTTGGTTTAAAGTTTGTCATGATATATGTGAAGATTTATCATTAATATATTCATTCTTTTCTCCTCGTAAACAGTGTAAGCTAGTCACTCTTTACTCTTAGCAGAATTACAGCTTCCATGTTTCTAATCCATTATACATATACATTAAGGCAAATGGATACCAGTTTCGGTTTTACAAAACTATCAGGCTACTACTTATTTGGTCAAAAACATCGTTCAGTTGGAACATATTGGGCAAAGAAAAGAATCTTTGGCTCAGTGATCCAGCTGATGAACTTTGACAGTTTGATTGCTTGCTTCTGGTAACTCTCATTTGTAAAATCAACACGTAACACAAAATATGATCCAACGCCCCTTGGCCAAATAAATAAATGAATGAAACCTGATGTTTCCTTGTAGTACAAGTGATCTATACCGTTAAGGATTCTTTTTTTTCCCTGATATATTTTTAAAAAGTTAACACTATTTCCTTTACATGCATGTTCCAATATGCTTGGGTTGATTATTTAATAGCACTATGATTCTGATGAAACCCCACATTATCAAAAATAGATTGGTCATATTGGATCCATCTCTATTTTAGTAAGCTATGAGATCCATTTGGACTTGAAAGTATTATACAGTGAGAAGATTGAGGGAAGCTTCCACCAATAGAATATATGTATATATTTTTTATGATTTAGTTTATGTGCACACCTCAATTAATTCATCGAGATCCTGAAACTACTGGTCTAGTAAGAGCTTTAGTGATTATCCTTATTAGTCTATTAGCAACTGAGGAGGGACTCGAACTGAGGATCTCTATCGAACCACTTGGTCACCCAGAGGTAATTAATAGAATATTTTTTCCTTTTCTTTTCTAGGAATTTTGTAGTCAGAAATCAGAATATAATAGTTGTTATCAAGGATAGGGACTGACATTATATGTTTAGTTTTCAGTTGACTAGATGTTTTTTGTGCCGAAAGTGCATACATCTGCTTGTTAAACTAATTCATCTAATATAATTAAATCCAATATCTTAAATAAAAGGAAAACTTATACGAGCAACCTCATCACCTCGTTAAGTTTATTATGGAAATAATGCTAGTCCCAACTCTATCATTTTGTCAACTACTGAATCATTATTTAAGAGTACAAGGGTAACCTTACCCACCCTCCGGTAGGCTATGCTGTCATTTGTTAAAGCATAGTCAGAGATAAGCAGTGCAAAAATAAATCCCTGGAAACATGTACGTTACCTTTTCAATCTTCTTAGTTTTTCAATTTCCATTCGGCTTATTACTTCTACAAGCCAAGCCAAAGTTTCAGATTTCATTACTGTGAAGAAAATTAAAAAGGGAATTTTTTTTTTTCTTCCAAAAATACTGGATTAATTGATCCTTGAACAAATTCAGATGCCTTTATAAACACAGAAATTAATGAAAACATTCTAAGATTTCTTCTATACCACACTATGATATTGGATTTACAACAACAACAACAAAAAATGCTATAAGAGTCAGTTTCTCAGGTACAAATGGTTGAAATTCCCATTCACAGATTAGTTAGTTTCTTTCAAGGTTGGAAGAAAAAATAAAAAAATCTCTGTACCATGTTGGTTTGATGTTGCAACTAAGTTAAGAAACCATGGGACAATTTTGAAGGGCATTTACAATCTGTAATGCATCAATCCATACACGGTCACAAGAGCCATCATAAGAGAATGATCTACATGAGGCTACACCACCAAACTTAACACATCTTCTCCAAGAACTACCCGTGAAGATGACTTCTTTCGTCTTGCCTCAGCAAAAACACCTCCCCTGCAGTCTATTATCTTGAATGCGGATTTACCAGCCAAGGCTTCCAATGTATAGCAACCAGCTTCAGCATTCACATGACCCTTTTTGGTTACTTTAAACTTCGGTTTCTCTTTATTCAAGCTTGAACTATCTCCTTTATAACCCTCCCACCTTCCCAAAAACCATACCCTTCGGAGAATTGTGTACAGAACCTTGCCTCGGAGATCCATGACATAAACTTCATTGCTGCCTTTCTTTTCATAGTTATCTACACGGTAAACGATCTCGCCGTTTTCATTGTAAACGGTGCATCCATTCGCTTGCATCACAAGAGATTTCATCCATATGGTAAATGATTCTCTCTTCGAAGAAACCTTGGGCACAACAGGTGGGAGAGGATGAACCTTGGCCATTAATTTCACTTTTGAGAGAGAAGTTGTCTGCTTTGAGAAGGAAGAGATCAGTCAATGAAGATACTTGCTATGAGAGTAAAGCTTCAATGATGTTTAAATGGAGAATTACACTTTTAAGGCCCAGAGTAGAATAACTTCCAAGTTTTGTATATAAAATTTGGATGAGATGAGTCATAAATTCACCACGTTTATGGTAAGCACATATGGGATATGGCTACAGAAAAATAATTGTAAATAAATGAGTTCAGTTACATAAGTATGATGATCAGATTCTTTTCTATATTTTTTGTGATCTTGTCGAACTAACAAGTCTATATATATATATAAAACAATATCATAAATTAACGCAGGGTATCCTCCATTATTCAGATCATGAAAACAGCAAGTTGCATTATTCTGTAGATTTAATCATTTAGATTGCTTTATCTTATTCATATCCGTTTACTGATTACCTCATTAGCTTTTTTGTAATTTATCTTTATGTATTCAAATACTTTTCTATATTTCTTCTTTCATTTTTGTTTTATTCTTTTCAAAGCCAAACAGCCATGACGAGCTAGTAGTGGTCGGTTCTATGCTTCTGTCGATTGTAACTATTGAAACAGTGATATTTTGCTGGAAATTTGACAGGATGTTCAGTTGGCTTTTGAAATATTTTTGGAGCTAAAGAAGCACTCAGTCTGCCTGCTGTCTATCATGAATAGAGTTGTTATGGTTGTTAGATTTTGGTGATATGTTTAGGTGCTCTCAGCTAAGATTAAGGGTGTATTAGTTGTAAATCTTGTTTTTAAATTTCAAACCTATAATTGTACTGGTTAGTTGGTGTAACAGTAAGCATTTTGGTTGTATAAAACTGTAATGTGAATTGCAATGAAATATAACTTCTCTCAACTCAATTTCCTCTCCTCTTTCCTTAGTATTCACCGGCACTAAACACCTACAATTGGTATCAGAGCTATACTAAAACCTAAAATCTCTCCCTCCCACATTCAATCATCCATCTTAGCTTAAGAACATTTTGTTCTAGTCTTCTTATTCTTCCTGCTTCAATTATCTAAACTGAACCAATGACTGCTTAATCAGCCTTGATGTTACCTCCAGTGTTCAATGGAGAACATTATCATATATGGGCTGTAAAATGAAGGTTTTTCTCAAGGTCAAGGGCTGTGACAGTATGTGGAAGAGAACAGGCAGCCACCGCTATTGGGATCGAATCCCACTCTGAATCAGATTCGAATGCTTGAAGAAGAAGCTGCCAAGGCATCGAGAGCCCTATCCCATATCCATGCTACTGTAACAGACCTTGTATTCACAAGGATTATGGCATATGAAACTCCAAATGAGGCTTGGGATAAGTTGAGAGAGGAATACATGGGAAGCAACACAACAAGAAATACGCAGCTGCTGAATCTAAGAAGAGAGTTTGAGATGTGGTGGAGGCAAGAATCAGAGAAGGTTAAGGATTATGTTGACAGGTTGATGAGTGTTGTCAACAAAATTAGGCTGCTAGGAGTGAAGTTGATAGATAAGAGAGTTATGGAGAAGGTCTTGGTAAGCTTGTCTGAAAGAATTGAGTCCAAAATCTCCTCTCTTAAGGACTCAAGGGATATGGGGTAGATTACTCTTACAGAGTTGGTTCATGCATTGCAAGCATAAAAGCAAATAAGACTTTTGAGGCAAGAAGATGCAAGTGAGGGTGCAATGATGGCGACTCACAAAAGTAAATCAGTTAAGGGAACAATAGGAGATATGTCGGTGATAAAAAAGGGAAAGAAAGAAGCAATGGTCAGTGGGGAAAACCAGGTGGGATGAAAGAATATCCACCTTGCTCTCACTGTAAAAGGAAGGGACATTCTGGGAAAAGATGCTGGTTTAGGCCAGGGATACAATGCAGTGCTTGCAAACAATTTGGCCATATAGAGAGGATTTGCAAGAACAAATGAGAGCAATCCCAATAGCAAGCCCAGGTGACTGATGATCAACAACCAGAGCAAGGGACATAACAACTATTTGTAGCCTCATGTAGTGCAACACTAACAAGTTATGGAGACTGGTTGGTTGATAGTGGATGGACAAACCATATTACAAACCATATGACACCAAACCTGCAGGACTTTTTCAAATTGAATCTAGCACATCAGTCCAGAATCAAGGTTGCAAATGGTGAGTTTGTTGAAGAAAATGGAAAGGGAGACGTTGCTGTCCAGACTTCAACAGGTACAAAACTCATTACCAATGTACTTTATGCACCCGAAATTAATCAAAGTCTTCTTAGTGTAGGACAAATGTTGGAAAATAATTATGTTTTGCATTTTGAGAATCAAACCTGTCAAATTTTGGACAGTAAAGGGTGTGAACTGATGAGAGTTAAAATGGTGGGAAAGAGCTTCCCTATTAAGTGGAAAAAAAAAACTGAAGTTAGAGCTTGTAATGTAAGGGTAGATGAGTTTGAGAAATGGCATAAGAGACTTGGTCACTTTCATTATCAAGGTCTCAAGGAAATTCAAACCAAAAAATTGGTCCAGAATATGCCTGAAATAGAGGAGAGTAAGATTGTATGTCTAGCTTGTCAACTTGGCAAGTTGAGTAGGCAGCATTTCCCTGCAAACCAAGCTTGGAGAGCAGCTGAAAAACTTTAGCTTATTTATACAGACGTGTGTGGTCCTATGGAGACATTGTCATTGAGTGGAAG